ATATCAATGGGAACTGAGGCTACTCAGAAGTGAGTACTGGGATTGAGATAGAGGAGGTGCCTCTAACAGGTTTAGCAAGAACTAAACCAATTAAAGGGAAAGAACCACCATAGGTGGTCGATCAAGTCTCTATGTTAAAGAGGCTATGCGCCTTAGAGGATGGAGAAGGCATGGTGAGCCTTCGGTGTCATACCATTGATAAATATTGGCTAGGTGCTAAGCATGGAAAGGGTAATACATGTTGGTGTTACTTTATAAAAATGGTTTACCGTTTGATGAGGACATCAAACTTCATCTATGGGTGGTGGAGTTGTGAGACACAAATCCCTAAGCCCCAAAGTGGAGCCAAAAGGGCACCAATGTGTAAGCTCCTGAGTTTGGACTTCCCGGGAGGTCACCCAGCCCAGTACTATTCAACCCCAAGGACGCTTAACTCCAAGTATCCCAAGACCCTTAACCAATTGGAAAAGGGGGTGCACTCTTTGTTCATGGGCCCTTTCCCTCTATATTTGAACCCCATGGATCGTCTCTCAAGTCGTTCCCTTTGGTTGCTTACAATCCACCACGCTTCCCTGCAAGTTCACGCCCTCGTGAACGGAAGCTGAGAGCCGCAACTCTCCCGAGAGCCTCACTCTCTTGACACCCTACCCCTCGGGTCGAGCCCAGCGGGAGCAAACTGGACCAGCCAGATGTCAATCAACATGTGGTGCGATTTCCTTAAGCCAACCAACAAAGTCGGACCCGAGACCCCTCTGATACCAAATGTAAGCTCCTGAGTTTGGACTTCCCGGGAGGTCACCCAGCCCAGTACTATTCAACCCCAAGGACGCTTAACTCCAAGTATCCCAAGACCCTTAACCAATTGGAAAAGGGGGTGCACTCTTTGTTCATGGGCCCTTTCCCTCTATATTTGAACCCCATGGATCGTCTCTCAAGTCGTTCCCTTTGGTTGCTTACACAATGGTAGTGGCCGAAGCAAAAACCAAACGAGCATAACACGTTTGGACTAAAAGCTCCGACTTGAAAGGTTGAGGGCGGGAGTGGAACTCCCAATGGAGTGCTCAAGGAACAAGCATGAAACGAGCCATAAGAGAGTCTCTAGAAAATGGACCCAAGATGGAGTCCGAGATGGACCCAAGATGGAATCCGAGATGGACCTGAAATGGAGTCCGAAATGGACCCGAGATAGAGTCTGAGATGGAGTTCGAGATGAACCCAAGATGGAGTCCGAAATGGACTTGAAATGGAGTCCAAGATGTACCCAAGATGGAGTCCGAAATAGACCCGAGATGGAGTCCGAGAAGGACCCGAGATGGAGTCCGAAGTCGAGATCGAGACCGAGACTAGGACTGGGACCGAGACCGAGACCGAGGCTGAGCCCAAGCCCGAGTCCAAGTCCAAGTCTGAGCCCGAGTCCAAGTCTGAGTCCGAGTTCGAGTCTGAGAGTGTGAAAGCCCAAAGCATTCGTCTCCCAGACCCTAGGGGATTTAGTGAGCTCCAAAAGTATAGTAAGGGAGAGGACTCCAGTGGAGCCAGTTTGGCTAGGAAAGGCTAGTTTGTCCCAGAAAGGCTGTACCCAGGTGTTGGGTGATGGGATAACCACTAGGAAGTTCAAAGCTAGAGTGAATACGGACCGACAAATGGGGTAGCTTGGTGAAGTGTTCAAGAGCCAACTCTAATTCCCTCAGGAGATTGATTGGCCGATGCTCCGAGTCCAAGTGTGGGTGGCACTACTTACTTGGATACCTGGCGTGGCTCAATGGAACCTCGCTCTAAGCCCATGGCTAGAGCACCCAAAGGTGGAAGGCGGGGAAAGTACCTATGAGGTCTGCATAGGGTCACGGTGTTCCGAAATGTTGTCCCAATGTCCCAAACCATAAACAGGAAAAGGAGTAGCCCTCTGGTGTGGTGACCAAGGACACAGTCACACGGTGAGGAAGTCCCAGAGGACCATGGGACATAATGGTCAAGCCTATAGGTCTTGATCCAGTGGCAGTGTTGATGAGCATGGCCATGAACAGAAAAGGACTTAGTAAGGACTGGAAAGAAGATATTGGGGAAGGCTATTCCCCATGTCTGCCGACATCCTAAGGATGCTAAGGAATGGATTTGGGATGACCACTCCTAGACGGATGGCCCAGTCTTGGAGAGATGGGATTGCAATGCAGGTGGTGGTCCACCGATGTGACCAAGGTGAATAGGCATGGCCTAGCGTAATGGGTTAATAAGTTGGTGGTACCTTAGGGTGTTGATCATGGGATTGGACACGTGGAGCACTTGGACCAAGTGCAAAGGTTGAGAGGCATGGATGCCCTTCTCGGGGCGAGCAAGCCCCAAGTTTGGAATTGGACTTATGAAGGTTGTGAATGAGACTCCTTCAAATGGTCAGAGGTATAGTTAAGTGATTAAAGTAGAATGGAAAAATTAGTCACTTACAGCTGGTCCAAACAAAGTTTCTTAACCTCACTGCCATCTTCATGCATCGAGCCACAACGGAATAACGACTGTTTCTTCCTTGAATATGAAGAATTAGAGAGCTGGTCATCACATTGACTACTCTGTAGACTATCTCGTTGACCAGAGTTGACTGATGGTTTGGGCGAAAATATCTGAGCCTTAGTGATAGCATCAGTCAATATTGCTGGAAAATCCTTCTTGACCTTCTGCTGCATATCCACTGAGCTCAATCATTTGATAAAACATTGTAACAACTCATTATAGGTGCCCATAAGACTAAGGCAAAGATCACGGAACTTGCCCAAAGACAAAGTCCCTTGCTGGATCTCTAACAACTAGTTCACAAAATCAACCTTTTCAAACTTCTTGACAAACGAAGCATGGAAAACTTTTGTCAGTCCAAGAAGTCGGTTTTGGATTAGCTTTGATGTAGTTCTTCCACCACGAAGAAACATGGCCTGTAAGCTTCGTCACAAAGAAATTTATCTTCACCTTATTTTCACAAGGATTGTGAGACCAACAACTTTCTCATAATTCCAAGAATCAACCTTTTGACTATCACAAACATCCGATGATGATTTCCATTCCATAATACCATATCCTTGGCATGTTTGACATACCAATACTAATCACGGACATGACATTAATTCAACCCTTGAGGGTCCATGCGAAGCAGGAAATCCTTAATGAGATTAATAGAATCTTTAACCTCCTTTATGTCGCTCTGAACCTTAGTAATCTAGCATCCTTGCCACACAACGACATTATTAAAAGTCTCTTCCGCATCGTCATGGCTATCATCACTAATGCCATACTCCTCATCAGGATCAATGTCTTGCTCACCCACCATCCCCAAAAGAACATGCTGTTCCAATACCAATGAAACGAATAAGATAATGAGCCCTAGGCCAACCTCCCTGTGTTACGGCCTTAAATCCCACAGGCCATGGAATATTCTCGGAATATTCCCGTAGTTCACGTCAGGTCATGCAATGAAAATAGCAAGAGCTCTTGGGCACTGCAAGAGGTTAAACAGATGGTAGCTAGGCTTTGATTATCATTTTACTTGGGGTTTTGATGACTCCACAAGTGCCTTGGAACTCTTGATGCCAAGTGAAGTCAACGAGATTATTCAGCCACGTAAGCGTGCTGTTGAAGAGGTTGTCGCAGAATACAACCGGCACATTGTATCAAAGCCAACCTGTGCAGGTCGAGATCCCAAAGTTTGAAAGTGATGACATGAACAAGCTTGCCAACTTTTGCTACCAATTACACAAGCGTCGAATGCAAGGGTTGCACATATATATATGGAGGACTTCAAGGTCTCCATAACAGATATCAAAGAATCTTTACAAAAGGAACTGAAGGACACAGAAAACGCATTGATCAAGAGCTGCTCATCACTGTTGGAATCCATTAAGCTGGAGTGTCCGAAACTCCCGCACGTTACAATGGAGTCAAATCTGTTGCTAAAATATACACCACTGATTGGGAAACGAGCAAATATTAACTACTTATGTGAGCATCCAAGCGGCTGTCACCCAGTTGATTTGAAGAAGTACCCAGGAGTACCAATCACTATCCCAAATCAATGGTTCAAAAAGTATAGCAACGTCTTCGTCCCAGCCATCACAATGTGTTTTCACCTTGCAAAGCTCGTTAAAGTGGCATTGCCTGTGGGAGGGGAGCTGGTCGGCACTTTGATTGAGATTGGTGCAAATGGCTTGAAGGCTACAATCAACTCCTGCTTTGAAGGCGATCTCAATAACAGGTTGCAACCAGCATCAAAAGATGACATCGTGGAGTTGTTTGGGTATGTGAAAAAGAATTCAACTCAAGGATATGGCAAGGACCGAATCTTTGATGATGAAGAAGTGATTTGGACTCGTCAAAAGTCCAAGTGGCTGGGTCTGTGAAGATCACCATTATTGAAGAACAAGGGCACAGGCTTAATAAAATTACTAAAATGAAGAAGCAGTGAATTTTTATTCAAAGAAGACGAACATGCCTACTTAAGGTATAGTTCATATATTGTATGTCCAGAGCTCATATAATCCATGTGCTGTCCAGGGAACTTAGAGATCAAACCTTAAGACCTTTCTCCACACCATCAAAGTTTTCACAAAACAACAGTGCAAAGGATTTCTGCAATTCAGCCAGTTACTCCCTGTGCACGCATGACCGTAGCATGCAAGTAAAAAATTCTCATTGAAAATTCTAGACTAGGACAAGAGCGAGCAAACTTTCTCAATGAGCTGCTGCTTGGCCATTCTAGTCTTTGCAGGAGCGGCCGCCAGCCTCCTGGCCTATGCTCGAGGATCGGACGAGGACCCTTTTGCGTTGGGAAGGAGGAAGCTCTGGGGATCGCCTCGTTTAACAGCCAGAATCCCCGGATTTCTCAGGTTGTGAAGTACTGCCTGGCCGGACGTGAGCGACGACGTGATTGCCAAGGCGTTCCAGTTCTCCGAACCCGAGCTTGTGAGCGAGCTCAGGAAACTCATAACAGTGTTAAGACGCTCTCACTAAGCAGCGAAGCTGAGATATAACAATCGGTGTACTCGAATGCACGTTAATAGCTTAGATATAGAAGCGACTTTTCACTTCTTTCACGTCCTGGACGAAGACCACTGAAAATGATCGCACCTTGCTTCAGGATTGGAAGCTGGGCCCTGTTGGAAACAACGAATAAAATATGAAGCATCTTTCAAGGAAGATCACCTTTGCTCGAGCACAGACGTAGAAACCACGGCCAAGATTGGGGCCAGCCTTCTTAACTCCGACACAAGGCTCACCATGTCCCTTGCACAATGGAAGATTTCGCGACATCAAGCTCTTGAGTCTTTCCCAGCCTGCTGCCGATTTTTCCAAGCTTTGCTGAGAGCTTTCCGTCGGTGTTTCATCTGACATATCCATCAGACTGGCAAGCTGCAACCTCTGAGCAGTTGTTATTGTCACATAATTCAGGTGATTGCTGGATTCCATCCGCAAGGCTGGAGCTCTGCCCATGCACTGCGACCTCTGTGCAGCTCATTTTGTCAGAAGATTCATGCCTTTGATAGCAAAACCCTGTCAATCTGCTTTGTGACAGCCTCTGCAATTTCCTGCTGCCCGTTTCCTGTGTAAAAGCGGGCTTGGAAACATTTCGGCTGGTATCAGGCTCGGCTTTGGCACTAGTCAAGAGACCCGTAAAGCCTTCCTCGGCAGCCACAGGCAACGCTACATTGTTGCCACACTCCACCTTGCAAAACGTAGCCACACCTGACCAGCAATGCGCTCTAATCCAATGCCAAGGATGAAGAAAAGTTCTAAATCGCAAACTCCCTACCTAGTCGAACAATGCAAAACAATACCAAAATCTTTAACACCGAGTCATGTGATTCTTACCTGAGTAGCCGAGGCAGCCTTTCTTCACGGTGGGCGTGCAAGAGAAGAAGGATTCGTATCCTTACGCTGTGGCAATATCCGCCGTGAGCTCCTGCCTGTTTCTTTGTTCTCGAGAAGAAAGAACAAATCAGCAACTACAATCCAAAATCCAATCCAAATCACCTGGAGGCAGATGATGTCTGCGTCAAACAAGTCCAAGAAGGTGCGCAGCGATCTCGCTGGAGACATCAGTCCATTCACATTGTAGCTCACGATCCTCAGCCAGGAAGGAGCTCAAACGAAATAGGGCCTTATAGCCTATCGAAGTGTTAAAGAAGAATAAAATACAATGTATTAACCATGGAACTATGGAACGATCTTACACTGGCACTGGCGAGGAGCTCGACTGCTTGGACATGAGATATGCTCATGTTGGAATGTGCGTGACACGAACAGCAGTCTCGACCTTTTTTTACGTTCTGCCCGCCTTTGCCTCCAGATCTACGCGTTGTAATCTCAAGGTCCCCATCGGGTAACTCCCCCTCGATCTCCCTCTCTTCCAGCAGAGGCATCACTCCCACTCCTGCAAAGCTCGTCTGTGAAGAGAAGCTAACGTTGACCCAAGAGTTTCGATGAAACTAACGTTTGCTTCACCTGTCGTAGACCTTTGGAGTTGAAAGGCGATTGTCTCACCAGCCTGTGCGTGCCTTTCTCGCCGGAGATATAACCATACGCATATCTCCCGTCGATCTCGAGTGTGGCCGATTTGATCTCAGCTTCTTAACTCTCTACCACAGTCGACTTAAAGCCCGACCTGGTAGACCATCGCTGGTACATCCTTAGAAGCATCTCAGCCCAATCCTGTGCTGGAATGTATGTAAAACAATCTCAAAGCTTCTAAAAAGATATTAGCACACGATGTTACCTGCGCATTGGTTCCGCCAGCGCCTGCGGTAATAGTGATCCGAGCTCCTTCTTTGTCATAAGTTCAAGAAAAGAGCTTGATCAGTCGTCGTGCAGATACTCAGAAAGAGCACTGGTCATTGCTTTGTAAGGCATGAGACTAACTTCCTTGACATCCACGATTGATGGATGGTGAAACGAGAGAAGAACGTTGATTTCCCGTACAGAAGTCATGGGGAATCCTTCTCTCTCGTGGTCCATCTTCACTCTCTTGAGCGCCACAATCTCTCCACTCTTCTTGTCCCGAGCACGATAGACGACCCCACAAGTCCCCTCGTCGATCTTGTTAAGCCTCTCAAACTCGTCCACGCTTCGGCAGCCTCGCAGCATATCAATACTACGTAGCTGTGGGGGCAGCGATCTATCGTCCTAGTCCGAGTCCGACCCCAAGCGCTCGTCTGGAGCACTACCATCGTCGTCGCTAAGTTCCACAAGCTCTTTCTCGTAAAGTTCCTGCTCGTACCGCTGCTCCTCATCTCGGCTCCCGGAATTGTCTTTGTCACCACCACCGCTGGAAAGCACGTCGGTGTCAATCGGCTGTGTTTCATCCTCTCCAGCAGCAGCCGCCTCGGAGAATATAGACAAGGGCATCAGATTTCCTGCCGTCGTCAAGGTCCCAAACAATGGGAGAGTACTTCCCCATCGTCGCCCTCTACGTCCCTGGAACCCGTGGCAATGTAGGCCCTGAGCTCGATCGGGCGGGAGCATCTTTGATGGTCTAAAACGTTTTCTTCCGTCGCTAAACCCTAGAAACCTGAAGCAATATAAAAAAAAGCCCTTTAATGGAAAGATCTTTTCGTTTCTTAGTACCACACTTGATGATTTCATGTGAAACAAATATTCTCGCTTTTCTTTGCTTCTTTGTTTTGCGTATCCCCGTTCTTCGTCGCGGATGTCTAAACCAAAGAAAACAGCAAGAAAACCACGAGAGAATCAAGTCAATAACATTGACGTGTTCGCTGCCATGAAAGCCAATCCCCCGTACCGCAAAAAAACTCTAAACAAATCCCTCCACCAAAAAGCTGTCTAGCCCGCTGTGGATGAGCTCGAAACCATCCAAGCAAGCTCTTCCAAGAATGTACCTCCCAAATCGCTGCCATGAAAGCCAGTCCCCCGTACTGCAAAAGAACTCTAAGCAAATCCCTCCACCAAAAAGCTGTCTAGCCCGCTGTGGATGAGCTCGAAACCATCCAAACAAAGCGACCGCGCCTGAATCCGGTGCCGCTGCTCGTTTTCGCGCACGGCGCTGGGCCTCCATCCTCATCCGACTGCATGATCAGGTTTGTCTCTCCGGATCTTGCTTTAATCCTCTTTTCTTTTCTTTTTTTCTTTCTTCCGGCAAGATGGAAGAACCTGTTGGCAACGGCGACCCAACGCCGTGGATGTGATATCCCTGTGGGTCTTCTTTCTTATTCTTTTTCTTCTTTCTTGGAAGATCTTGTTAGTTTTCTAGTTAAATGACATACTCTGTTTCCCGTAAATCATTTTCTCCATGTAAATATATAGGAGGCGCATTTTTGTGGACTAAAATCCATTCAAGATCGAGAATTTGAGAGCATGTAATTAAATCGTTGTTATTGTAAACTTCTAGACTCGGAGACGCTCTGAGTGAGAGAACGAGCTGCTGCTTGGCATTCTTCTCTTCGCAAGCTACCTGGCTTGTGCTCAAGCATCGAACGACATACGAAACTTGTACAGCTTGTCTAACGCATGTGCTTTGCTAATTGCTTACAAAAACAATTACCTTTACAAAGCAAAAGCAAAAGAAAGAGAAATAGATTTGGCATGACTTTGTACAACGTGCACCGTAGGGTTGCGTTGCTATCAGAATTGGCATCTGATTTCATGTTTAAAGCCAAGCAGCCACTTACTCATCTTTGCTAGCCACTTCCAAGTTGTCATTTGGATGTTCATTCATCAGCGACATTTGTTGTAATTTCTGAGGGTATTCTGAGGGAAGTTATGGGGGAGCCAAAGCAGGCCCGGATAGATGATTACGAGGATTTGGGAAGCATTCGCTCTGAGATGTGGTACCATTGGGTGTCGCATGTGTTCGAGCTGAACAGATATAGAGCAGCAAAATTCGATTCAGAAGACTTCGAAGGCTTCCGTGAGCTGCTGCTGCAGGAGGACAACATTCTGGAGCACGTAATCCTGCGCAGAGAGGGCTACCACAAAGCGGAGGGGTTTCTAGAAGCAGCTGTGTCCAAGCTAAGCAGCCTTGGAATATATGAAATAGATTTTCGCGAGTTGGTGATTCGCAGCTTCGATGAAGCTATTGCTGCTGCCAAGCACAAGGGGATGCCAATCAAGCTCAAGACGCTTTTTGTATATTCCTGTGCTGTAGATTTAGATGCTTTAGCAGGATCAACACTTCCGAAGTATTTAGAACGTCTGGAGTTTTTTCATTGCGATTGCTCGCCCCATCTGGAGAAGCTGCTGCAAGATCCAGCCTGCAAGATCTGGGAGCTGTCCCTGGATCAGAATGAATACTTGACTCCTGCCCTCTTCCAGGCTGGAACAAGTTTACGGAAGCTTACGCTGATCGACATCCCAAATGATCAGGCGCTACTCAGCCAAATCTGCGGAGCAATAGAGGGCCTAGGAATTTCAAATGAGCCCAGCCCTGCGGAGATTTCCCTGCTAGAAGATTGCATAAACAACAATGCGAAGTCCAAGCTCTGGTTCCTGGAGTTAACACCATTCTATTTACCTTTATCTATCGTTCAGCTGCTGGGCCGGCTGCTGACGAGCCCATATTGCAAGCTTGAAAGTTTCTCCTTGGGGGTGAAGGTGAGTGGTTTTTTCAACATTGATATTGACACCGATTTTCTTAAGCAGAGGGAAAGCTTCTCCTCATGTGAGTACTTTAGTCTTCCTCTCAAGGAGTATCAAGATGCGATTCTCAGCAATTTGGAGGCCAACTACAGCAACCGGATCCAGAGACTGCGCATTCGCGGGGAATGGGCTTCCAAACTGTTGGAGGACAGATGGTTGAGGGTGAAGTACCGGAATGCTCTATTTCAGAAGAGCCCCGTTCTTGCACAAAGCGCTCTAGAAAACCCTCCAGTCACACCATCAACTACCAAGCTGTTCATGTGCGGCCACACTGCCTCGGGCAAGACCACCATCTCCACCAATCTGGTCCGCCCCTATGCAGCCCTCTGCCAGTGTGTGAGTCAGGATCATGCATCAACAGTGGGAATTGAGAGGAGGACTCTCAGATTTGGAGAGAGGAAGAAACTCCTGATTTACGATCTGGGAGGCCAGGAGGTCTACCACGCTTTTCATCACTATTTCCTCAGGGGCAGCGACAAAGATCTCTTCATGGTGGTGTGCAAGGTTGGAGGTCCTGGAGGTGACTTGGAAACAGAGCTCCAATACTGGCTTCGCTTCATAGCGGCCCACCAAACTGCAACACCAGCTAGGAAACCCACCATTTTCTTAGTACTCAACATCTTTGTTCGTCATGACCGTTTCTTGGTAGAAGCTCGAGCAGCTGCGACGACACTGTTACTCAAGTATAAGGACAAGCTAGACTTTGTTCAGGGCCAACGTGGTGATCACTATTTCGAGGTGAATGGGTTGAATGCTCGTCAGGTACAGAAGGAACTGAAGCCCAAGCTGGCTATAGCAGTGGGCGAAATGATAAATGAAGTTACTGTGATTCCCTGGACTTGTGATGAGGTTATCAGAGAGCGGGCTTCATCCACACCATGGTATCATATCCACAAACGGGCACAAACAATTGTCCAGCAGAGGGTGGTCGACCTACATGAGATGTCCAAGGCTTGGTTCCAGGGGGAGAAAGAAGATCAGGCATTTGCTGCACAATACACATTCATCTGCCTACATGACATGGGAGAAGTGGTCTACTTTGGGGCAGATGACACATATCAAAACACGCATCCAAACGACAAGGAAGCTGCATTGATTGTCAACAATGCAGTTCTAGACATGCCATGGTTTCTCCATACTGTGTTAGGAATTTTCATTCCTAAGCAAGACAGAAACAATACAATGAAGTGGGGGGAGCCCAAGTGGTCTACTGCGAAAGCAGTACAAGAGCTCAAAATACTTGGAGAGACTGCAGAGGGCAACATCTATTTCCTGCTCAAGCTGCTTTGTGAGATGGGGGTTTTGATTCCTGATGGCATGAGGAGCTGGGACATAAGGTGGTCAGAGCCACGAAATCTGCCAGAACACCTCATTGTGCCTGCATTATTGCGTGATGAGTTCACTGGATGGATTGAAAGCGAGCAAACATATGATTGTTGGGGTCGGAGATTGCAAGCAGACGACACTATGAAGGGCTTCGTTCTTCTCCCATCAGGTAATT